CTGCTGTCAGTTACGCTGGGAATTATAACAGCAAGGCTAGTAGTGGAGGTTAGGGGGACTAAGGGAAACAGGTGGAAAAGAAAGAGAGGAGGCGTTAGCAGTAACGTGTTTTCGCTTATCCGCCCTGATTTATGCAGCAGATAAGGCGACCCTTGATGAGCTGCTCGACGGCCGATGCAGAATGTAGTTAAATTGTGAGGAAACTTCCATGGGTTTATGTGGGTTATGATACTGTCAGGGCTCACAGACCTAGACAGGATTATTTTGGTCCTGAACTGATGGCTTTGGCTCAAAACCCTGTCCACAAGTCAGCGGGAAGGTGGCAGTAACTTGATTTTACAGAGATAGATGCCATTCCATTTCCAACCCTCAATCTTGGGGTGGGGGCAGGTGACTAACTTTGCCTGAGATCTAGTCATCGACCAAGTGGTAGGGGTAGCTCTTCAGAGGTCCATGGCTCCATTTACTAGCTCAGTGGGTCGACGAGGTACGCAAACCATCGCAGCAGGTTAAGATCCAGTCTCGTTGCGTCTTATTTAAAAGACTACAGCAGTACGCCAGTACGCAGTTTCGACGGTTCGCTGCCGCGCAACCACCACCAGTCGCGCGTGGGCTAAAGCTACTGAAATGTCGCCCGGTCCCCTAACCAGGCTGAAACCCGCGACTTCCGGATTACAAGGCTGGCTTGCGATCCTTTCGGCCCTGGGCCGGCAGTCATTGTTGGATCAGTCTTATGTGAATTTCCTCTATGCTGCTTGGCTCTCTCATGCTGCACAGACTGACTAGCACTCGTGAACACCGGATTCACGAGGAGCAAGCCGGGTCTCTCTGAAATGGGAACTGTATTTACCACATCTTCACATTGTGCCTTTTTTATAACCCCACTACTTATGCTGACGACCAGTCGGTGGCCAAGCGGTCTTCACACCTGGCTTCTATCACAAGCTCATCGGTTCGAATTCGCGTAGACGCGGGCGTCCTCGTGGTATACTCTGCCCACGCGCGACTGGTGGTGGTCACGCGACAGCGAAGCGATGTTACGGCCTACAACTGACGATTTTGTGGCCCTTTGTCTAAAGGTAGCAAGCTTGTCTTGAAATCTGATGGCACGGGTTCGAGCTGTATAGGGTCAGAGCGACCCTTGCAGTATACTTAGCCCTCGTGCAACCAGTGATGCTTGCGCGGCAACGAAGCATCGGTACTGCTTATCGGCGTACTGCTGATATCTTATACTAATGACCCACTTTGCTTGCAGCAAGGCCTTTGAATCGGCCGTTGCCTTTTCGCTGGACATTATCTGCCTTTATATATCTCGGTCTTGCAAGATTAAGCTGACTGATCTTTTGTTCAATCAACTTCCAAGGTCACTGAGACTTTCTGCTCCATCCACCTTTGAATGTAAAAGTGAGTAATCGCGCATGATCCCATATCTACTGTCTTTGGACAAAACATTTTGCGTCAGTTGAAACGAATTCTGAAGAAAATTCCTTAATGAAAGCTTTTCCGTTTTGAATGGATACAAATTCCGAAGATTTCGTTCAATTTTTTGGGAACGTTGCTCGATCAATCTTGCACAGTGTATCCTTCTCATTTTTCTACCCATTTGCAAACTTAGCACTTTTAATGGTAAGTCTGCCAAATTTGCAGTTGATGATGCTGAAAGTGCACCAATTTGGATACATAAAGCTTGTACTGATTTGACTTGACTTATTCGGTAGATCCACGCGTGAGCGAGGATTGACGATAATAATGCAATGCCTTATAGAAAATAAGGTAATCTAAGTCATACTTAATATCTATTACATCCGACGAACGTCTTTTGCGATCTGTTACCGTCTGCGGCTTCGTAAACCTCGTATTGATACAACAAGCTCGCCACAGCTAGACGATGCTTCTACCATCGAACCAGCACCGTGCGTACCAAACTATACTTCGTACTGTGACGCCGTCTCGTTCGTTTTAATCCTGTTTCCTCTGCAGTGCTCGTACACAAATATGTCGAGATAGAGTAGGCTTGCCGGGCCACTAGCTTTTTCTTACTGTGAGAAACCTGTATAATATGCTCCGGATATTACCATTTGGTTCATCATTGTTACGCACAAAATGCCCCATGCTAAGGCTGATGTTACATTCATGATGCTTTTTCCCCGCAGTTGGACTAAACCAACTTACACTTAATCTAGGTCTTTATAAGCTAGATAAAGTTCATTCCACTTTCTTTGATTTGTTCTGACTACCTGAATAATCTTCTATCAACTTGCATATGTTGCTTACGCTTCTCCGAGTTATCTTCGTTAATTTATCGCGTTTGTGGCATTTTTTGAATAACTTATGGACATTTTGTTCTTATCGCGGATTCGTTGCTAACCAACTTGCTTCATATGCTAACTTAGTGAAGAGTTATGTCTGCATAGCCATATTCTTCAACATATCTGTCTTATTTGGTATTGTCATTTCAAGTGATTGGCTGTTGTTTGACATCCCTGGTGTGGCTGCGCTTGATGTGCATGTTGACAAGGTGCCTACCTGTTTATTACCCACTACCTCGTCCATACTGGCTCCAGGCAACAGTTGGTCGTTGCTGGTCGGAGATGGGGTGCACGGTCCTTATGGCCGTGTTAAGCTCGAAGAGTGGTTCCATGCACTCAGTATGGAGTAAACTACGGTCCAGCCACGGCCTTTTGTGCGCTTGCTTCCCCAAATACAGCGTGCTTGTGTTTGCCTGTGAAGGAGTGTAGCCGGCTCCGTTGATGAAACGTGGCCCCCATCCACATGCCTCACGGTCTTATTCTTTTGGGTTTACACTGGATTTGGGGGGTGTGGTTGGAGCTGTGAGTGGTGCAGCGCAAGCCACCCATGGTCCCTCTGCTGGCGCAGGCGTCTTGTGGCTGTCCCCGTGGAGGCCGCAGTGACAGGCAAATCCGGAAACGGATGCTGCCAACCATTATCCCTAAAAGTCCGGGGCAATCGTTATTACGAGGTGATCATTTTGTATCACCATTCGTCCAGGTACCTCATACAAGTTTGGACGTTTGTGTTCCTCAGACAACCACCATTAATCCTTCAGTGGTATATGACGACCTACTATCTCTCCAACTAGCTTTACTTCACAAGTAACCCATACCATGACGTGGTACAATACCTTTTGCTCTTGGGAAACCCATTTAGCTGTAAACAGTGCCTTCCCACTTTCTTTAAAATCATCCGTCCTGTCCGGTTAGAGTTTGTAGACAGCAACTTCATCCTTCGCAGCTGAGATTAGGGAGAAGCAGCTCATCTGTCTGATATCTCTATCACGGGAGGCAGCGAATTGGGAATTATAGTCATATCCCAATGGGTGTAAAGTAGGAACACCTAGGGTCATGTGTGACTGTAGATCAAACCTGCCTGCCTTCTCTAGGCTGCCAATGGCCGATTTGTATAGTGCATATTACTTGTAACCCATAGGTCTCCGGTTCGTGTCTGCCTAGATGCGAACGACGTCGCGGTGTTCCTTAGCTACGGGCGACTGATGGTGGCGGTGTTTTAGCGAAGTGTTACTACGGCGTATCGGTCTGCTGCTGATGTCTCTCTATCCCTATATGACACAAGCTATTACCATCTGGCCCTAGCTTGTCGTCATTTGTCTAGGATTCGCTGCTTTTGAATAGTGGGTGAATCCTATTCCAGCCATGCTATCGCTTTCCGCGCGCTGCGTCGAATGGATACTCGATCGGACTGGTCTGAACGGTTTCTACGCTTCCAGTAGCCTGGTAATATGAGGCTTTTGGTTGCTCATAAGGACAACAAATAACTTGCAAGTGCTGATTTGATGACTAATATATAGCAAATGCCTTTGAAAGCTGAAACATCTTGACTTTTTGATTCCCATGATTTTGTCATCATTGCCTACCAAGGTTACCCTGACTAGTCGTCTACCATCCCTATGCGCAACCAATAAAATCCCATTCTCACATTACCGGAAGGCGCAGTTGAATATCGAAATGCACACAGCTGTGCGCACAGCAACGGCTGATTGACGCTGAACCTACAGCGGTAGCATGAAGTGCACCGAGTAACCACTGACTAGCAATCAATCGATCCTAAATGAGTTTTTTTCTCTCGGAATTTGTATCGTTAGTTGCACGTTTGTGATTTGTGTGATTGCAAGAGATCTCTGCGTCATCTCGAAAAATTCAGACTTCGATTTTATCATTCAGAACTATAGTGGGAGTTGTTTCAACTTTCTCTGCTGTATTGCCTAAACCACTTCACCGAATGGGACCTGTTTCCTGGGACTAGTATTATGGGAACATTATCTCCCAGGAAATGTCTACTAATAGCATCCGTTCTTCCTCTCGACTCTGTTACCAGACCATCTACCTTCCACCGCTTACACTCAGTTGATTTGTGTACTGGTCTACAACTTCTGTCGTTCTACATTCCCTTGTTATTTATGCACATGCATTTTTTATAGGTAAAAAACATGAAAGGTAACTTTGTTTCCACATAACAACATACGCAGGGATCCCAGTCAAAGAAGATTCACATACTCATCCTCCCCTTAATGCGTAGACTTTGGCTTAAAGTATTTATGATGTTGGGATCCATTCAATGTGGTTACTGAAAGCAATTCTTCTGAGTGAGTCCTGGCAGCCACCCACTCGTATTGCCTTCAACCCCACGTTTGTGTGCCAATTATTTGTCGGAGTATAAATTTAACCACGTAATCCCATTCGCACAACATCGGCCGTTCATAGGCAGTACTGGGTAATCTGTACCCATCCTTGATGACTTTGGTGCACGTACTGTTTCTCGTTACAGGACTTATTTCTCAACAATGCATAAAATTATTTTGATAAGCTCCCACCATAAAACCACGCCTGATATATCAAGCGGTTTTATTTGGCTTGGGCGGGAGTAACTGCCCAAGTTTTGCTCGTGTCCATTATCATTGCGCTCTGTTGTTTCTCGCCCTATCTTCACCGTTTCCTCTCATGGATGTTCATTTTTTGTTTCAGCTGCGGACTTGCCATTAAGATGAATGTGCTGCTGTTTCTGCCCGGCCTTCTTATCACACTGTTGTGGTTCCGGGGTGTTCTGGAATCCATAGGGCATTTATGTGAGATTCTACTGGTTCAGGTTAGTTTCGCCTTTCTTCTTCTGTTGACATGTTCTACCCGTCAGCTCGCTTATCATCGCCCTTACGTAAAACTCTGTCCATTGGCACATATACCGGCGTCGAACGATCACAATCTTCTCACGAAATACTTCTATAACGTTTACATTGACGTCTGACATTGCCATAATATGACTATATCCGCCTCCTTTAGCTATCGCAATTAGTTACCATGCGCGACATTTATTACTTTCCATTTTAACGGATATTAAACCCAAGATTGTCCCAAACAAACTCTCATTCTGATAGTTGGCTTCCTTATTTATATCTGTTCTCATGAATGCTTGTCATATTTTGGCGGAAATTGGCATTCTCCTGCCTCTTGTCGCATACTGTTTTTATCACCCCAACTGGATACGGTTCACTTCATTTCACTTCGGTACAGTCAAACAACTACGATTTTGGCATCGAAGCACTATGGATCCAGTTGCCACAACATACGTCGCCAGAATTACGATAAATAGCAATAGCAAGCAAATGAGGCTGCATACAAATGAAATAAAAATAAAATGAGATCTAGAAAGGACTTCGTTCAATTAATCGGAATTGAGTGCAAGTTAATAGCTAGCTGCAGGAAACCAAATGCACGAGCATCACTGGATGCGCGACTGCGCCATGTCTGGTAGTCTCCAACCACTAGTGCGGACTATCCCGGGACCTCCATTTACGAACGCCGTAGACACCAGCCTGCGGTTTCACTCAACGTGGTGTATAAGTCTTATCGCGACGTCATACACCCTACCACCTTTCACTGACACGTTGATATCATACCGTCTCCGTAGATGGTTGAGTCTTTGGAAAATCACACGGGTTTTGCCGAGACGCTAAGTAACTTCCTCAGTGATGTGACCACCAGAGGTGACACGGGTACCAAGGCAAGTGAACCGATCCACCACTTCTAGTGGCCGTTGTATAATACCTGGAACCGGTGGTGTATCTATGATTGTGCAAATCACATGCCCAAGCGTGCAGCGCTACACGTCAGTCTGTGTAATTGTGCCTGCATAGTCACTGCGTCAGACTTAAGGAAAGCTATGTCGTCCGCATACTCGAGATTTGTCAGTCGGTCAACTTGCAGAACTTCCACTCCGGTAGCGTCTGAAAGAACCGATTCATTCATGATCAGTTCGATCACAAAGCTGAACAGGAAAGGAGGCAATGGACAACCCTGGCGAGCCTCACTTGTCTTAGGGAACTCAGGAAACAGTTTACAGTATACCCTTGAACGGCCTCAGAAGTCACGGTAGAAAGACTTCAGAATGGAAAAATTTTTGATGGCTCGCCTTTCATGGATAGGCAGTGCCACAAGCTGGCGCTGTCAGCAGAGTCGAACGCGACTTTCAAATAAAGGAAAACCACCATAGTCGGTCGCTTGTATATGTGTCTCTGCTCTAAAACTTGGCGAAGAGTCAATATATGTTCGTTGCAATCACGACCAGGGCGGGAGCCACCCGGGCTTTCGATGATTCGACTCACGAGGACTAGTAAGTCGTCGAAGAATGATACACGTGAAAAGTTTGGAGTCAATGGAGATCAGGCTAATGCCTCGACCTTTGGAAGATTCTCACGACGGTTGACAGTTGCTAGTCTGAAGGCACTTCTTCAGTGTCCTAAAGCGTGTTAAATAGAAAGACAAGTCCGGTCAACAAAGAGCCACTTCCATCTTTCAGTAACGATGGAGGAAGATCGTCGGTTCCCAGAGCCTTGTTTCGTTTCAACATGGGCTCGCGTTGAATCTCTTCCAAAGTGGTGTGTGACATTAACCTCTCATGTCGTTTCAGGTGATTCAGCAAGCTGCAATGTCGCACTAGGCCTGCTGAACTGCTCCCTAAAATGATCCGCCCGACGGGCTAGTCGATGACGCTGACATGTCTAAACTGTCTATCTCAGCTATTGTCTCGCTAACTGATGGCTTTCTGGGACCCGTTTTCCGAATGAGTTGGAATAGCACTCGGCTGTTTCCAATAACGTTGGCTTTCTCCACCTCACGGGTCCTTGTCACCCACCAACATTCTAGATCCTTTCCAAGACTTCTTGTCAATATTCGCTTCGGGATGTTAATGACACGCTGAAACTCAGTACCCGTTGTCATCTGTTTCCGTGGCTCGATCAAACCAATCGACGCCTCAGAGATCCATTCATACGTCTGAAGTCGGATGAAAATCAGGCGTCAAAAGCATTCTACATTCTCAGTGTGGGACTCACCACCCACATTCATCATTGACAATTGGTGGGCTGATTCGTCACGATATCCTTGAACTGCAGACTACGAGTTCAAGTTATAAGTCAGAAGGCTAGAATTTGGGCACACTCTTGATCTGGGAAGTGTGAGCGCCAATAGTGCGCGCACTAGGCTCGTACTCCAAATTGACCGACGGCCTCGGACTGATGAGCGCCATCTATAACTGATGGCATTATGGTCAATTTGAGTTCAGATCATTCTCAGTACTCAGTTTTCATTTAAGCATTTGTTGGCGCCGGGTTATTCGATGTGAAAGTTCCTGCTGGAAAGCGATACTGCTTATACAAAAATTGTGGCCGGTTCATAGTCTGTTCGGCGTACATCGTCTCCGTTGCGGCTTCCTAGGTCTTGTTCAGATCCCGAAAGGAAGACTCACGGGCATTCATGTTACAGGCGTCAGTCACGATGTCAATGGTTTTTACCACGCAAATAAGAGATGTGGGGTAATAATAAAAACGTTTTGTTACCTTCTTAACTGCTTTAGTAGGGTCATAAACGGAGGCATTGAAAAAGTGGCGAGGAGAGAATAACATCGATTATGCTGGTTTCAGGAGACAGTTGGTGGTTAGTTAAAATGACGAGATACAGCTTCCTCGTGATCTTGCTGGATTCGAGTGGTTCCATACGACCAGTGTGGATCGGGATACGGCCCAGCCACCGCATTGGGTACATCTGGTACTCATGATTCTTGTTTTCATCGCAGTGTCAACCGGTGGCTGAGTGGTCTGCGCGTTTGGTTTGCAACCATAAGGTCCCCGGTTCGAATCCGCGTAGCTAAGGGCGTCCTCGCCGTATACTCAGCCCGCGCGCGACTGGTGGTCGCGCGGCAGCGAAGTGCCGTTACGGCGTACAGCTGACACACATTATTACATTTCATCACAGCTGCTAGGACGTAGAGAGCCGTCAGAATAAAGACTTTCACCTCACCAGACAGTTTGTAGAACAAACGTTGTCACCAGAAATAGGCAAGACAGTCAACAATGCAGAGTGAGCTGAGAGGGTGTCAGACAGGCCGCATCGCATGATCGGTGGCCTCATGCACGCAAGCACTGAGTGTGAATGAAGTTTACAATCATTAGTGTGGAATGACGTTGTACTTTTAAGGCACCTAATCGCCTGACGTAACATCTTTTTTGGAAACACATTGTTCTCCGGACTCAATGGAATGCTGGTTTTACCTGTAAAGGTCGGATCGGCAGAGTTGTCCGCATAGGTCTCCGAGTGACTCCATGGCATGGCTCTGCATGCGTTTCCGTCGGCTCACTGAGCTCCGCAGTTCTTAGTAGTTCAAACGTGTCCAGCAGTACCTTGAATGGCAACTCGGAAGCGGAATAGATGGTGTGTTCGATATTTCGTTTTCGTAACTGATTAACTTGTCGAACGTAAACGACGGTCCGACAGACACGTCGTACAACACAGTACTTACCCTTTTTCGTACCACTTCAGGTGTGCTAGCTTTGGTGGTTCGGCCTTGTGTCCAACGCGTACACTGGCTCCCCTTGTAGAAGACTCCTGCTCCTTCATTAATGCTTGAGAAGGAACGTGCTCCCAGCGTGTATCAGCCACAAAGTAGCATTAAATCATCCAGAAGCCTGGAGGCTAGCAAGACAGTATGGAGAACACATGGTTAAGCGGATGATTGCAGATGCCCGATCTACCAGGATCCCAGTTCCAGGCTGATCAACCCTATGAACACGATGCTGAAGCGGCTACAGGCGAGAACTGCGATCAGTAGCCTAAAGCGATGGATAGTGAAACCCGACGATACAAGCATGGTGCAGTTCTATGGACTGTCCGAAGTGCATAAGGATGGAGTTATCCTCCGAGCAATCGTCTCACTTCCAGGAACCCCATCGTATAAATTAGCAAAGAAGTTGTATAAGAAGTTGAAACATCTGATTGCCAAATCCGAACATAGCATCAAGAATGCGGAACAATTCTTCAACAGGCTGGGCGGTGCCAAGCTAGCAAACCGCGAAATTATGCTTTCATTCGATGCCACTGCACTCTTCACCTTAAGCAGTCGCGAATTTGCTAAAGAAACCATGATTGATCTACTACAGAATCAAGTAGTCACGACAACCATGCAACCGGAAGTTTGTGGGAACTCTTGGACTTCTGCATGACAACTTACTTGCGCTTTGATGGACAGGTATACCAGCAACTGAAAGGAACGCACATGGGTTCCCCATTCTCAGGGCTTATTGCCGAAGCCGGGATGCAGAAATCACAGCGCATTGCCCTGCCATCGATCAGTCCAGAACTCCGATGTGTTGACGACACATTTGTCTTCATAAAACGAAATTGAGAACAGACAACGCACGAGTTGCTCAATAGCACATTTGATGATATCAAATGTACAATCGAATCAGAGAAAAACAATTTTCCATTTTTGGATAAGCTGGTTAACAAGAATATTGACGGAACATTGCAGACATGCGTATATCGGAAGAAAGCGCATACAGATCAGACAATATACTACCACTGCAACCACCCGATGAACCACAAAAAGAGTTGCGTTGGAAACCTATTCAAGAGAGCGGAAACACACCACAGTATAACGGAATTGCAAAGACTGGAAGAAAACCACATATGCCGAGTACTTCGAAACAATGGTTATCCAACAAACTTCATCAGAAGTCTGAAAAAAGAACACCTCATTAACAACAGCAGCTAGTAGAGCAAACAAACAAACTAATAGTGCTCCCATACATCAAGAAC